AGGAGCGCTGGGGGTCCTTGTGCGAGTTGCCCCGTCCGATGCACTGCACGTACGCCTGGCGCGGGGGCGGGCTCCGAGAACGGCGGGCCGTCGAGCAGGGGGGGGGGAAACTGGGCGCGCGGTCAAGAGGCACTGTGGCGGGGCGCCCCGCCGCTAAGCGGCGAAGAACCGAGCGGACACGAGTAAAATCCCCGACCGTACCTGCACGGAGTGGGGGTGTGACGAGATCCATTCCGAAGAGACCCCAAGAAGCATCCCTCTGGTCCACGTTAGCGTCGTCGTCGCCGCCGCCATTGTCGTCGTCCCCCTTCCGGGTCGGCGGCACTGGCCGTAAGGCCTTCGCAAGAAAATCCCTGACCGTGCCTGCACGGAATGGGGGTGTTAGAATGATCGTCTGTTGTGTGTTTGTCAGTGCTTTCTTGGGCTGACACCCCTCCCCGCCTCGTCGCACGCACCCCTGAAACACCGCCCCCCTTGAACTTGCGTTCCGGCGCTCTGTTCCGTCTCCAGACGGCGAAGATGGCTCTCAAGACAACTTCCAAGACAACAGAGACGCCACAAAAACGGTCCAAGATGACCCAAGACGGAATAGCAGGCTCAAGCGGCCTCGAGACGGCTCGAGAGGCTTCCAAGAAGGCGAAGAAGTCGAAAACAAGCTGGTAAGCTTAGGTATGTGTTACGCTTTAAGCGTTGCCATATCCCAGGCTTTGGCTCATATCGCATGAGCAAGAGAGCAAGACGAAGCATGGGATCTGGAGTAAAGGATAGGATGGGCATCGTCAATGGAAAAGGTATTTTCCGATCTCTGATGCAAGTCGTGCGCCTCAGTGAGGCACAGTCATATATCTTGGCCGGGCCCGGCTTGAGCCAGGCACGGCAGCGGTACATGCTCGATTTATACCTCGCCTTTAACCTTCTCCGTTTAAAGTCGGAGGGGGAGGAGACGAGCAGGTACCGCACTTCTACATTATGCGGAAAAACAGTGCTAAGCAGCAGCGGCTGCCTACAAGGAAAGGGCGCGCGAGTAGCCTCGCTACCGGCGAGTTTCCTCGCTACTAAAGCGCACCTGCCCGCGGGTTTCCCCGCTGGCTCGGGAGGCAGGGCCGTCCTGAGACGACCTGCCCGCCCTATACGGCGTATGTTTCTTCAGCTCGTGCTTGAAGGATTGCTGGCCGGCCATTACTTGTAGGAGCAACGCGCGGTCAATACTACCTTTGGTATGACCATCGGCAGTCATATCCCGCGTGTCACACCATTGGACGCTTTCCACGATTCCGCGTTCCATCATCTGGCGGATCCAGCTGATGTGCCCAAGCAGAGTACATTCTGTGGGCTTCTTCAGATCTTTGCTAGACAAAGACTTGAAGACAGACTCGGCATCAATAGTCAGAGTGACTTTGATACATAGACCACCCATTTCCAATATGTTCTTTAACTGTGTGGGGGTCAATGGTCCCGAGTGTAGCTCGTGGAGCGTTACAATGGTCGGGTAGCAGTCTTCCAAGTTGTGGGCTGCTGCCAGTGTTTCCGCAGAGTAGCTCGAACGCACCTGCAGTCGATGAGACTTGCAGTATGCGTCCACCAGGTGCACGACGGGTTTCCCCGCTTGCGTGTGGCCACGCCTCAGCAGGTTAGCCCCGCGGATACCATAGCCTTTGACTTCGTCGTCTTCATCTCCGTTGAGACGACGATAGCCAGAATCGCTATGCAGGTCGACTTCTCCTGTTGGGGTCATAGCTTGATACACGATCTTCTTCGGACCTGCCTGTAGCTTTCTGGTAACCGCGTTTAGTCGTCGTACCTGGATGTTTGTCGGTTCCTGGATACGTTGTAGTGAGACAACATAGACCATCAGCCATACCTGCGTGATCAACGCATAGGCTAGAGCGCCACGAAGACTGACGAACATATCAGAAATCGTCTTTGTCGCTTTGCTCTCAGGATCAGCTCCTGTGAGTTCTGGATGTGTGATAGGACGAAGCTGTTTGATGTATTCGTCCTGATCGAGAGTGACGCTCCCATCATCGGTCTTGTTGTACCGAACGGCACAGTTTGTGTATGTGTGCTTGTTCAGTTTGCACTTCCCAAACGTATCTTCAACACACTTGACATACTTGTCAATAGCCTCTTCCTTCCCAGTCATATTGATGTCATCAACGTGCTTGGCTGTCAAGAGGTTTGGGCTCATCTCGAACTCTTCGTCGTATGAAGTAGGCTGTAGCCCAAAGCTCCTAGTGATGGACCTGAGCTTCAGCGAGAATGCCCTGGGAGCATCCTTCGTGCCCGTCCCCGGTTTCAGACACCGGAGACAATGCTTTGATTCGTCATATGACTCAAAGCCTGGCAGTGTGCGAAGGACAGCTGCTGACCCAGGTGGTAGTGTGAAGCACACCACACGCTCTTTCTCGCCCGTTGCCGCGGCGAGCTCGCCATAGGTCAGTCCCTTCAAGAAAGCCATGTTGATGTCCAGGGAAGCGATGATCCAAGCTTTGTTGCATGCAGCAGAACTTGCGAGCAGTCTCTGGCTTGACCTCCTTGCCGTGCCAGAGAAGGTTTCGACATCAAAGGCTTCAAGGTCCATGAAGCCACGGAGTACCAAGCGTAACCTGATCGTCCTTTCCATTTCGCCCTTTTCGTTCTTGACAAACTTCCATTTGTATACGTAGCGTGACGTCATGATGTTAGACGCCTTGCTTAAGTCAGTCATCTGGAAGCATTTGTTGTCAAGCCAAGTCTTCAATTCTGTGTAGAGGGCTTTGGAAACTTTGACCGGATTTGCTTGGATGTCGGCCTTCGTGAGTAGATCGTCTTCCTTGACGACCACGGCACGTTTGGAGGCAGCGCTAACGTATACTCGCATAGTTGTGACGCTGCTGTCATCCAACAATCGGTGTTGCTGCTCGGACAGGACGACTTTGGACATGTCTGCAGTGAAGCAGAGCTCGATGTACTTCCCGTGCTCATCGGAGTCCAGATCATATTTGCTATCCGGATCCGTGGAGCATAAAGGAACGTAGTAAGAAGTGTCCATGTCGTATCCTGGCGGGTGACCCCGCTCCGGCAAGTGGCCTTGCACATCTTCACAGGTCGTAGAGACTAACACACACTGTGTGTCTGTCATGTATGTGGGAACTGTATGCATGACTTCCTCTGTGTCAGCTTCAAGGAGTGTTCTGTCATCCATCAGTTCAGCATACCACGACTTCAAGACAAAAGCATCCAGATCTTCTTCTGTTTCCTCTATGATGGTCGGGAGCCGACCATCGTTATCCGTAGGAGGCTCCTCAGGAGCAGCTGCTGGAGGTGATTCGCTTGGTGGTGGACCATCAGCGAGTTCCTCAAACTTAGTGAGGTCTTGGTCAAATCCAGCAGACGGCTTCCTGGATTTAAGACACTGGATGATGCGTGAGTGTGTAGATCCTGTGATGTCATAGATGTTCAAGGCAGTGCCATCAGCTTCATAGTAATGAAAACCAGGGGTCACATCATTATCATAGTGCACTAGTGTACAGCTGTCTGCATAGGGTGCAGCAGGCAACTTCGTCAGGCTCTTGGCAAGTCGTACAGCAACAACGTTTTCAATACGAAAGTAGTTGCGTATGAGGTACTGAAGAGCCAAGTGCACCTTAGGCGAAAGTCGGCTCGCAGCAGTCATCTGCAGCCGACCCTGTTTCGCTGGTAGATATCCGAAAGTCATGGCGGGTTTCCCCGCTGGCAGACCGGCAATAAAGGCCAATACTGTCCGAAGGGCCGTATTGTCCGATCCTATCTCGCGGACCATAAGTGCTTCGATGTACAGTGTGTGTCGTGTGTCAGGATACTGTACTCGCACTTCGCGACTGCCGACCTTCACGATGACCTGGCCTCGGTCAGGTTCGTTGCGGATGACCGGGTATGGACCACTCCATCCACCCCAGTCGTCTTTCGTGGTGGTCGGGCGATGATAGTCCACGAGATCTCCCTCTTTGTAGTGAAATTCACCCGTAGCAGTAGTCTTCGTACGGAGAGCCCTGTTCGTCTTGGCAACCGCAGTGGCCTGCGTGATTGCCTCCAGACTAACCCTCCTGATTGTTTCCTCCCTTGAGTGATCTGATGATTCAGCGGACTGATCATGATCCAAGACAGGGAAATCAGGAAGCATAGCTGGTTGTCTGCCATACAGCGCATTGTACGGAGACACTTCATTGTAGAAGGTAAATGCGTTGCTGGCAAACAAGGCTTCATGTAAGAGACGAGTGAAATTGAGAGGAATATTTAATCTATTCAATTCTTCTCCCATCACGTGTAAGAGGTGTCGCAGGATGCCGTTCCTAGCTTCGATAGTTGTAGCGTGTTGGCCACGCGCTCGAATACGAAGCTCTGTTCCCTTAGCCTTAAGGATGGCCTTTGCTGTATCATTATTCAGTGCTCCTTCCCCATCGGAGTATAAGATTTTAGCAGGGCCATGTTGCATCCAAGTCGTATGATAGGCATCGAGAACAGTATGCATGGCTTTATCAGGAATCTCTGTGCCAGCTGCCCAGCGAATACAACGGTCGATGATGTGAAAAACAATATGTTCCTGTTTGTAAAAGAAAAGATCACATTCGACTTCCTCGTTGAAACGTCCTGGCAGTGACACAGAAGGCATCACCGTGTTGCCTGGTTTGTCCCAGGCTCGACATTCTCTACACGAGTCACAAATGCCTTTGATCAGACTCAAACGGGTTTCACCCAGACCAACCTTGGTTAGAATCATCCGCATTTTTGGCTCCTTGGCATGAAACCATCTCAGGTGGAGTTTGCGGAGTTCTCGCTGCACTACAGCTGGGTCGAAGCTGCGCAGGTTTTGGAGGCTGAGCTGAACGTCGAAGCGAGTCCAATCAGGGAGCCTTGGCCTTGGCCTCGGCTCTGCTTGAGGCTGCGGCGGTGGTGGAGGATCTCCTCCCTCCATGCGTCCGCGCCTTGCTGCAACTTGTGGCAGTCTACGGTGATCGTCAGAGCTGCCAGCGCCACTGTTGCCACCATTAGCCCCGTCGGCTCTGGTGATGTCATGGCTGCTGGCGCCTGCGGTTG